GAAGCTTTGTTCTGAATGCACTCCATGAATTTCTATCACTAACAAGGTGATGGCACTGAATGAGTTAATGAATTCTTAGAGATATGGGAATGCACAGGAGTATGCCACCTGCACTTTAAAAGTTATCTACAACTGTTAAGATTATTACTTTCAGCAGTCATATGTTTTGCCAATACAAAAGGGGAGAAGGGGAAAATATAATTTCCAGAATATGGCTACCATTCATATAGTGAAAATGCTTGAAAAAATTTCTAGCGCAACATTGATGGTTGCAGAATGAAAACCCTGATATATATTATTCATATATACTAAATATCAATTTTGTTGAGTTTCCTAATTTAATTTGAATGGCTTGTCATAAGCCATGCATTAATTAAGTGTGTTCTATGGCTTTCTCATTTTGTATCTCCTCTTTGTGTTTATGTGTAGGTGTAATAAATGTATCCCTATTTCTAGCAATTTTCTCTCAAGCAAATGGTTTTCACTCACAGTTAGACTTCACGTGCCTCTCTCTACAGTCTTCTTAACATCATTTATTGTAGCTGATGAATAATGTATCAAAATGTGTTCCATGGTTCCCTGTGATAGCTCTTAAGGCCTGCATTTCAGTTATTTTCCAGGCTGGTACTGTGATAAGTGACCAAGCTTTTCCTCTTTTCCTGTCCTGACAATATTTCCTCCTTTTGTCTGAGCAGGGTAATGGGGAGGAGTAATAGCAGTTTCCATGGAGACTTCATTCTGGTGGGCTTCTCTGAGCAGCCACAGCTGGAAAAGACACTTTTTGTGGTGGTCTTGTGGTCCTACCTCCTGACACTCATAGGAAACACAGTCATTATTGTGGTCTCCTTCACAGACCCGAAACTGAAAATGCCCATGTACTATTTCCTCACCCATCTCTCCCTAGTTGACATCTGCTTTACCACCAGTATTGTCCCCCAGCTGCTGTGGAACCTAAGAGGACCAGACAAGAGCATCACTCTGGTGGGCTGTGTTGTTCAGCTCTATGTGTCCCTGTCCTTGGGCTCCACCGAGTGTGTTCTGCTGACTGTGATGGCTTTTGATCGCTATGCTGCTGTGTGCAAACCCCTGCACTACTCAGCTGTGATGAAGCCTCAGCTGTGCCAGGCTCTGGCAGGGGTGGCATGGCTGTGCGGAATGGGAAATGCTCTCATCCAGGGCACTGTCACCCTCTTGCTTCCTCGCTGTGGGCACCGGTGGATCCACCATTTCTTCTGTGAGGTGCCTTCTATGATTAAGCTTGCGTGCGTCGACATCCATGCCAATGAGGTCCAGCTCTTTGTTGCTTCACTGGTTTTGCTTCTCTTGCCTTTGACCCTGATACTGATGTCCTATGGACAGATAGTCAGGGCGGTCTTCAGAATTGGGTCAGCCCAGGCATGGAAAAAAGCCCTGGGAACGTGTGGCTCTCACTTGATGGTAGTGTCTCTGTTCTATGGGACCATCACGGCTGTGTACATTCAGCCCAATAGTTCTTATGCTCACAGTCGTGGGAGGTTCATTTCCCTCTTGTATACAGTCGTGACTCCGACCCTCAATCCCCTCATCTACACGCTGAGAAATAAAGATGTGAAAGGAGCACTGAGAAGATTATGTCACAGAGACCAAAGTCTATGACAAATAGGAACCATGGTGGCAAATCTTTGGAACAATACAGAAGCCTGCAAACGTTGTACACTATGTAGCTGAAGTACCTGTGAGGACTCATGGTGACCATTGGGGTCTGTATTACTGTATTTCTCTCATCCTCAAGACTTTCTGCTGCAGGATGCTTTTCGACACTCGAGCAATATTTTTCCAAGTCCTTTACTTCCCTTTCATTTATAATATTTCTGACTATGCCTTCTTTGGTCTTCCTTAGTTTATTACTTTGTTCCTTCCTCTCACTCTTTCTTCCTTTTTTCTTCATCAATATCCCTTATTTTCCATGTCCACATAAGGAACATAGCAACCAGTTTATCTTGATTTTTAAATATATATATATATACACTAGATGTATTGACTTATCTTACATATTTCAAAATATGCATTCACATAAATTGTGTTGTTCAATCCCATTGGATGTGGTTATTCAATCATTGATGCTATCTGTCCCCCTTTTCCCCCTTCCCTTCCTTCCCTCCACCTGTACCCTCAGAGAACCACCTCTCCTTTCACTGTCTCTGACAGGCCATCCATCTTGACCTTTATGAACCGAGAGATCCTAAGTACAGAAATGAACATGCCAAATCTAACGTGGCTATTGAGGTACAACACACGAAAACCTTACTAGTAAGGGAAGGAAATGTTAAAGAACTGGAGGATAATTATGTGGTCCATCAGTGTCATACCACATCCTGGTTCTAGCATCCATTCCATGTGACCCTTTTGAGAGGGACTGTCCAATCATCTTGCAGGTGGATTTTGGGTCTCCATTGCATCCATGTCCCTGTACACTGAGTTGGTTGTGTGTTTTTGAACTCTTGATACCTCTTCCCATTGAAAACTCATGATCACACAGACTGTTGTGCTTCTTCCATGTGGGCTTTGTTCCTTCCATGCTAGATGGCCACTTGTTTGGCTTCAAGCCTTTAAGACCTCAGATGTTATATCTTTTGATAGCCGAGCACCATCTGCTTTCTTCACTACATTTGCTTATGCATCCATTGTGTCTTGATATTTTAAAAAATTCTAATCTTCATATTAATAATCTAACAAATCCTGAAAACTTCCCCACAAACTTCCCCTACACCAGAAGGAAACTATTTCTTTGGGGTTAAAGAGATGTAGTAGACATTTTCAATTGAAACTGAATTTTAGCTCCATTATTTTCTTTTTGACATTGTGCAAGCTTTTGTTTGTCTTTTTTCCCCCTAAAATTATCTAATGAAAAAAAATGAATGAGCTATACTCATACTTTGATTAATAGATTTTAAAGGTAATATAATGATATAACATGTTCTAAAAACTGACCATAGATATAAAAATATTTTTTCATTATTGTACTTAGAGTTAAAATATTTACCTTAGTTTGAGCAAACATGTTCTCATTACCTTAATTGTATCCAATAAAAACTCTAACCTAATTAGTAGCTCATTCTCTCTTGTCTCATTTCTCTAAATGGAAGTAATTGCTTGAAAATATCAGAAAATAGTTAAACATTATTCTACATTCAAAATATGTAAACCCACATCATTATTTTTTCTACTTATTTATAAAGGAGACCTGGTGCCCCTTTTAGGAAATGTGTTAATTTCCATCTCTCCATGATAGAGGGATGGGAAGAAACTAGTCACCAAATAGATAACCAGAGAAGATCAAAATGATAAACCTGACTTGAACCATTTAAAACCTTGTCAGTTGTTTCCCCCATCTTATGCATGTTTGGCCTGATCTGACTTTCAACCTTTGCTGGTTTTTGTTTGTTCATATTTAGGTTTATCTCAGACGTGTTTTGTCATTGGGGGATCACCCTCTTAAAATTGTGTTATACAATTTCCTGTTTTTTGGTATATGAAACCCAGGTTTGATGAACCTACAGGGACAGTAAGGTGGATAAGGCTTTGGGGTGGGGGTGGAGGGTCTAGTGGTGGTGTAAAAGTGGAGATGATGTCACGGACTCCAGGAAGGCAGAGAATGTTTGGAAACTGATTTTGGTAGCAATTTCAACTCTTTATGGGAGTAGAAAACCCCATCTCTCTTCTGGTGGATGGCTAGTGGTTTTGAACTGCTTATCTTGTGGTTAGCAGCCCAATGTGGAACCATTATGCCATGAGGGGTCTCAACATATATCCTGAATTCTTATCAGTTCCATTGCCAACACCCTGACCTGAGTCTCCCTCTTCTTTTCCTTTGATTTCATGACATCTACCCTTCTCCCAAGTGAAATGCACAGCCATTAAAGAGTTACAGTCTATGAACCTCATGAGGGCCACTTTATCTTTGTCCTACGGGTCACTCTAAGTTGGCATCAGACCCACAGCAGTATTTGTGTGTGTGAACTTATTTATCACTAGCTTCTGTCAGTTTTTCCTATTGCAATGGCTTGCTTTGTTTTTGTGATAGTAGAAGATATTGAACAAGTACATATGAAATGTCAGCCAGGTACCCCATGGTAGACAGATTTCAAGGTAACTTCCAGACTCGGAGACTGGGGGAAAGGACCTAGAGATCTCTTCCTGAATAAAGAAAAGTAGCTTGGAAAACCTCATGAACAGACTCTGAACCCTGGCTGATATAGTGCAGGGAAATGAACACCTCAGGTTAGAAGGGAGTCCAAATATGCTGTGGTTGCAATAAAGGAATGAAACACAGTCATGATTGCGTGTAACTGAAATTTTTATACTGGCGATGAAAACATTTTCAATTCAAATGATTTATATCTTGATCCCTTTTGATGATATATGCACTCAATCATATGCTCTGTAGGAATTCAAACGAATGCTTATACATGAGCGTTCACAACACTCTTCACAATAGGCAAAAGAAGAAAAAATTCAAATTAATTCCTTACAAAAACTGTATAACCACACAGTGGAATGCTATCTAAATATTAAGTTAAATGAAGAACTGATACATGCTACAATGTAGGTGATCCCTGAAAACAGTAGGCTGAATGTGAGATGTCAGATCAGACATAATAGATTACCTAGTATATCATCATAAGAGATTATAGTACATAATCATAAAACATTACCTATTATATAATCACTTAGAGGAAATATTCAAAATACATAAAGCCATAGAGACAAGAAGCAGATGAATAGTTATCAGGGTTTGAGAGAAGGAACAAATGATCATGACTTCTTTTATAAATCATTTTAATGGGGGCTCGTACTATTCATATCACAATCCATCCATCCGTCCGTCCATCCATCCATCCATCCATCCATCCATCCGTCCATCCGTCCGTCCATCCATTCATCCATCCATCCATTGTGTCAACCACATTTGTACATTTGTTGCCATCATCATTCTCAAAACATTTGCTTTCCACTTGAGCCCTTGATATCAGTTCCTCATCCCCCTTCTCTGCTCCATCCCCATGATAATGACTTTTTAATTGGCTCATGATTGTCTTTGGGGATGATAAGATGTTTTGGAACTGTAAAGAGATGGTGGCTGCATCGCATTATGAAATATTCCACATGCCACTAAATGCCACTCTAAAGGTTAAGGTTGTATATTATGTGATGGACGTTTTAAAAGAAAGATCATGTTTCTTTATTATAAAAGTATTGAGATGGTTTGTTCCATTCTTGTCAGATTTAGTATGTGTCATTCTATTTGAGTCCCGTCCACCCATCAAAATGCTTAAATATATTAACGACAAAGGTTTTGTCAAATGACAATGTAAAACAAGGTTATCTTGAAACATACATTAACTACCAAGGGCTTCAGCCCAGAATATTTGAAGATTTCCTATCTATCAATTAGAAAAAACAATCTTAAATTCTCCTGAAAACATAGTACATGATCTTGAAGGGATTTATATACATAGGATAATCCGATCATTTTACAATGAGAGTCCTACTCCGTATCACGTGAATGGCTAAAAGTAAAAGGACAAACACACATCCAAAGATATTCATAGCAACATTATTTATAGATGACAAAAATGGAAAACAATCACCAAATGTTCATCAACATTAAAATGTATAATGCATTGTGACATATTTATACAATGAAATAAAATATAGCAGTAAAAATTATATGCCACTGAGACTGTACTAACGTGAATGAACCTCGCAAAAATTATATTGAGCGAATGCAATGAGAAAGAAGAGAAATAGTATTGCATGATCCTTTAGATGCCGTTCATAAGTAATCAAAACGAGAGCTATATGGGGGACTGGAAGATGTAATATATGCAAAGGGTCTTAGCGATTCTTCTAGTGTGTTCCCACGTTTCAATTTTTGAGTATGTTAATTTTATCATAATTCAAGCTACACCTTTGTGAATTTCCCCTTTTTGCTTATAATCTATTTTTACGAAAATGAATACACTCGCATAAAATTTCAGCTTCTTTGATGCTAAGAAGTAAGAAAATATCTTGATATTAAATGCATGTAGGAAAAGAAGTTCGATAGCTTTGTAATTTTGCTTAGATCTAAACAAGGTTGAAAGATCAGACAGGTAGAAACATCTTCTTAGAATGGTCTCTTGGGAAAGTTCATCTTTGGTTACTCTAATACCTCAAATTATTTGCCATACTAGGAGAACTGGGTCCCTGGGATCTCTTGGGGTTCTGTGTCCTGTGTCCTTTCCCAATCTCTAATGACTTGCTCGTTTTCAGTGATCACCACTCAGATAACAGCCCTTCACCCTGCACACAGACACTAACCTGTCACTTCAAGGTAACAGCAGTTTGCACTTCAGGACTGAAACACCTTTTTCATACTCAAATAAGATTATCAGTGTATAGAAGACTAGAGTACTTCTTCAATTTTAATTTATTCATTTCTTTTGGCAGTCCTAGTTTATACCTATGACAGCATGCTTTCTTATGCTTCTCATTCTTAATATTTAATGGTAAATCAAGATTCTGGTTTAAATCAGATATTAATCTGGGTGAGGGGTGGTACTATGTGCACATGCTATTTTAAAGTTTGTGTGTTGGTGACATACAATCCTTCT